GGGTAGGCAAGAAAAGCCTGGTCTGCTGGGGGGGGGCACTAGCTGCACCCCTCCCCCAGCAGACCAGGGAGACGGGGGTGGCGGGACGCCCAAGTCCTCCACGGCTTTGCTCCGTCTTCCTGGTCTGCTGACCTGGGAGACGCGGAGCAAAGCCGCAGGGCACGCGGGCAACGGGACATCTCCCTGGTCTGCTGGTCGGGAGACGGGGAGCAAAGCCATGGAGCACACCCGCAGGGGGACAGCTCAAGCGCGCCCAGGCTGTCTCGCTGCGGGCGTGCTCCAAGGCTTTGCTCCCCATCTCCCTGCAGACCAGGGAGATGGGGAGCAGCTTTTCTCTCCCCGGAGGACGGGGGCGGCGGACCGCGGCGCATCTGGGCATCCTGCCGCTCCCATCCTCCGGGGCAAGAAAAGCCCCGTTCGTAACTGCGGATCCGACGTAAATCGGATCCGCGTAACTCGGGGACTGCCTGTACAAATAATTACATTGTCTTAAAATCATGATATTTTAAGAAGTAATATATTCCCCATCCAGTTTTTGAGATGAGGGTGTGTGTGTGTATCATGTTGTCAAACTTTCTTTGAAACCAAAGGACTAGAAACTTACACAAAATAACCTCACAGTTTTACACAATCACCTCACTCCAGAAGCTAGAGCTGTAAGAAACACACCAAATATTATGAGACCACAATAAGATCATGAGAGTTGTCAACACTACCTCTCTCCCTATTAGGGTCCAATTGCAAGCTTTTTTTGAAAGAAGATTTTTCAGAAGAGATCTTCAAAAAAAATCTTCTTTCTATAGAGAGCATCCAGACTGCACATGCGTATTGAAAAAGCGATCTGCTTTTTCGAGAGAGAGCATCCACATTAATTTGGATGCTATCTCGCATAAAAGGCCACATGGAACCACTTCAGCCAGGGCATTAGGTCAGCAAGTGGTCGGTGGGCCACCAGTTTGACGTGGGGAAGTCCACCGTCAGAGTCCTCTCATGGAGGTAAGGCACTCTTGGGCAGCAGTGCGTGAATTGGGGGGGAGTGTCCTGGAAAAGGGGAACCTTCGGGAAAGGCCTACAGGGGTGGGGGAAAGGTCTGTCCCTGGGGGGTTGTGCCATCCAGCCCTCACACAGCCCTGCTCCAGGGTGGGCAGCCTCATAGGGGGCGCCTCCTGGGAGGTTTAAGGGGAGGAGGAGGGAGACGGGCACCTCTCAAGGGCTCAGGAACTCCCTCTCAGTCTATGTTTTGTGTTTTTCATTGTCTCCTTTTGCAGGTTGTATGGGCCATCAATTCCGTCCTGCTGTGCAGGGTCATCCACCTGAGAGAACTGGATCCCATTGTGGCCAGATTTGCTGCCCTGGGCTTCCCGAACTGTGGAGGAGCGATCGATAGTACACACATTCCAATACGTGCACCACAGCATCGAGCCACCCAGTACATAAACAGAAAGGGCTATTTCTCCATGGTGCTGCAGGCCCTGGTCGACCACCGGGTACAGTTTCTGGACATTTTTGTTGGGTGGTTGGGCCGGGCACACGATGCCCGCATATTCAGGTACTGTAGCCTCTACCACAAGCTGGAAGCTGGCACATTCTTCCCCCAGCAGGACTTTCACGTGGTGGACATACAGACGCCACCGTGCATTATCGGGAATGCAGCCTACCCACTAATGCCATGGATCATGAAGCTGTACACAGGCCACGTGGACCCCATCAGGGAACAATTCAACGCACACCTAAAGCAGGCCCACATGCAGGTAGAATGCGCCTTCGGGCACGTCAAGGTCAGGTTCAGGTGCCTCCTGACTTGCCGCGACGTGGTGGAGTGCAACATCCCCAAAGCGGCTGCCGCATGTTGTGTTCTCCACAACATTGTAGAGAGCAAAAGAGAGGCCTTCCTCCCAGGGTGATGGACAGAGGCCGGCCGTGAGGGTAGGGCCTTCGAACAGCTGTGGACAGCTGCCATCCACCAGGCCCATCAGTTAGGAGTGAAAATCCGGGAGGCCATGAGGGAGAGGTTCTCTGAAGGAGCCCAGTAACTCTCTCCAGGGCCTCCTCAATGGGGGCTTGTGCCTTGCCCCCCCCCATATACCTTTCCCACCACAAGCCTTCCTTTCCCCCCTTCCCTGTGCAAATAATAAATACACCTGTTTTGGTTTCAGCAAAAAAATTCTATTTTGTTTTTTATAATAAAAGCAACTGGAGCGGAGGGAGGCTGAGAACCTGAATGGGGAGGGGGGGGCTTAGGGCTGTGAGTGGCACATGGTATGGATGGAAGTGCCACCTCCACCTCGCATCCAGGGACCTTGATGAACTCGGGATTAGGTAGGGCTTCAGCGGGGTCAGGGATGGCAGAGGGAGCAGAATTGAGGGGAGCAGGAGCGGGAAGAGTGGGAGTGGGGAAAGCAGAAGCGGGGACAGGAACCAGGTATGCCATCACTTCCCAGATGGTGGTCCCACATGCTATTGCACCACTCGGCGTCATCGCGGACCTTTTGGGCCAAGGTCTGCTGCATGTCACGCAGGACTACAATGTTCTCTCTCATGAGATCCTGGTGGACCCTCTAGTTCTTGCGGCTCCCCCGGCTTCGGTCGCATGCCTGGGATGGTGTGGATCACCCCTCAGAGACAGCTGGTCTGGCTGAGGAGGACAAGAGGGAGAGGCGGTCAGTCATCCATGCAGACACTGTCTCTGAGGCTGTGCCCTCCTCTGTGAGCAGCTAGCAACTGTCCTTAGAATAGGGGACAGTGATGTCCTGAGAGCAAGACCTCATGTGGCATGCACAGGTGCCCTGAGGTGCCCAGGGGACCATCCTGCCCACTTCCCCTCCCCCATGGACAAGCAGGCCACGGAAGGGGAGAGGCGGTCAGTCATCCATGCAGACACTGTCTCTGAGGCTGTGCCCTCCTCTGTGAGCAGCTAGCAACTGTCCTTAGAATAGGGGACAGTGATGTCCTGAGAGCAAGACCTCATGTGGCATGCACAGGTGCCCTGAGGTGCCCAGGGGACCATCCTGCCCACTTCCCCTCCCCCATGGACAAGCAGGCCACGGAAGTGTCCTCTTTCGGAAAAGGTGTTTTTCCTCGTAGAACGAGGTTTACCAATGTTGGAAAAACCCCTGCGTTCTTTCGATTTTCTTTTGAAAGAACGCAATTGAAGTGTGGATGTAGGTGAAGTTTTTTCAGAAAAATGGCCGTTTTTCCAAAAAAAAAAAAAACCCTGCAATCTAGATGCACCCTTAGGATCTGGACAATCCTATATTGAGCAGGGGGCAAGATTCTTGAAAAAGTTTGGAAAGCAGAGTCGTGATTCTACAAGGAGCAACACAAAATTGGATCTAATAGAGCTCTAAACAGGAACAGACGTCTAACTGCATGAAGCTCTTTGTCATATTGAGGTTTAAGGCATGGGTATAATATCCTAACATAAAAATAAACAATTTAGAATGTTAACCCGAAGGGCAACAATCTCCAAATGTAATGTACCCAATTGGAATAAGCAACTACATCAGAGGAATTTAGAAACATTAAATATTAGGTTCGCAGCCAAATGTTCTTCCTATTAACAATAAAAATGTGAAAAGGGAAATATGAAATAATATTGACAGTATTGTTATAAAGAGAATATTGGTTTTTTAAAAATTCTTAAGCTATTAGCCTCGCTTTAAAACACTTGTGAAAGGATTAAATAATAGTTATAGAAATCCAACATACCAGTTTAAGTCCTTATCATGCAAGCACTTACTCACGTGCTTAACTTTCATTCCCATTTACTCTGGACCTTAATGCCTCTTCTTTCCTTCCTTTTAGATCAATGAGTCATCTGGGTTGTGGAGCTACAAAAAATGCAAAATTTATCTTTCTTAGGGTGATTTCAGTCACATCCCAGGACTGTTTTCCATCACTTGGGTACATAGCCTGAGGCTATGAAAACTATATTTAAAATACAAAATTGAGTTAACTGGTTGTGCACCAGTGCTAAGGATTTATGCTAAACAATTTGCTCCACCTTGCATTTAACTGTGACACTCAGGGCACATCTACAAAACAGGGCTAATGCTGAAATAAGCTACATAACATGTCAATTGCGTAACTTAAGTCAAAATAGCTTATTTTGGTTTTTGGCGCTGTCTATACAGCAGGAAGTTCATGGTAGAGCACTTCTCCTTCAATTTCCCTTACTCCTTGTAAAATGAGGGTTACAGAGTGAGAGTAAGAACTCCTCCAGCTTGCCATTATTTTGATAGTATGTTGAAATAACTGCCTGTAGTGTAGACGCGGCCTATGTTATTTCGGAATAACGCCAATTATTATGAAATAACACTGCTGTGTAGACATACCCTTGGAGTATCTTTTACAGACCAAAAGAAAAACTCTCTTTCTCAAAAGCTTGTCTCTTTCAGTAACAGAAGTTGGTCCAGTAAAAGAGATTACTTCTCCTCCCACCTTTTCTTTCTAATACAGTATCCTGGGACTGGAACCAACATGGCTACAATTACACTGTATACCTCCAACAATAACATTAAAAAATAGCAATTTAAAATAAAAGCTTGTATTGTCAAAGGTCAAAGAAGTATCTCTAGTCCTATTCTTGCAATTATTAAGATGGTCCCATGTTTTCTTGCAGATCCCTGTTAATTTCAATGAGACTTTAACGTAAATCTTTATTAATAAAAATTAATATTTGAAAATATAATTAGATAATATTTCACTAATGAAGAAAAACTAAAACACCAGATGGAGAAGAATAAAGCAACAAAATATAAAAGAGATGAACAAAGGACCACAACAACTGAACAACAGCACCCCATGTACTCCAGGGATGAATTTGGCTTACTATTTCACACTCATCCAATTTTAAATATATGATAAACTATATACTCATGTTATTTTAATGCTTGAACGACATCTATTCCAACTACCTTTTCTTTAAAAAGGTGTCCAAATTCATTCAAATTTGTCTTCTATGATTATTTTATCTTATTGTTTAAAATCCTTCCTCAGGTTACAAAACCAGATACTTTTTTATTCTTAGTAGTTTCTACTGCCATCTAATTACTCTTCAGACAATTAAAGTACCATACTAACTTTGTTCCTTTTCAGATTTGCATCATGAAGTATGTTGCTCAGATAAATGTATAAATGTTTGAAAGGACTGAATGGAAACGAAGTGAGTGATTATAGTTTAGTCTCTGTGACTGATTCAGGTCTTAGCTGAGCCTCTCATGAGACTGTCAACCAGGGTGCCAAGTATGTTGGTTGTTCTGTGGGACAGGCATTTGTTTACTGGTGGTTAGACTGAGAATACCAACTCATTACATGCAGGTCACTGAACAGCCTTGAAATGCTATCATGCTGGCTCTGAAAAGTCTACTCCTCCCAACCAGAATATTTTTTAGCACGTCTCCATCACAGTTATCTAACGTGAATAAGAAGGGAGATTAGGATTTCAGCATTTATATTGCAGCCAACAAATAATTCGATTTTTAAAAGGAAACCAGAGATTAACATTTATAAAGAGGCATATATAAGCAAGGCAAGTATGTGATTACACAACACGCACATCACATGATTTATTGGATTTTGCCATTAAAAACAAACAAAAAAATCACACAGTAAAGGTGGAATTTCAAAAATTCCTCATTTGAACAGAAAAAAAATCTGTATAATAAAAAAAAATGAGAATTTATTCATTGGTTGTTCATTTTTAACAACAAATTTTGTATAACTAAGGGGATAGGATCGTATAAGTGGTATAAAGGTCCAATTCGTTTCTAATTTAGGTCAATGATAGACTTTCCATTGACTACAGTAGGAATCAGATCAAGCCCTAAAGATGTAGCAATTCACATTGGACTTTTTTAATTAGATTTTTATTCATTGTGCTGCAAAGTGTAATTGTAACTAGTTAGACCCTAGCATCTGTGATGGGAGAGGAAGAGATAGAAAGTTATTCACATGAAGAATGTATTTTTATCAGTTTGGAAAGGGATGTGCCTTTATCAGTTATTAACCAAGTTTCTGAAGATTATCCTTATTGTTAGGTTTGCAAAATATCCTTTCAAATTAAACAAAGTGAGATAGTAGACTTTTATTTGTCTTCTATAGCACTAGGATGGTGGCTATGTCCTTTCAGATACTTTTTTTTCCTCAGTTCCTTTAGTGTGGGTGGGTTATGGTCCTTGCAGGACCATAACAGTGCATGTTAAAAAATAGTGACTGATTTTATGACTGAAAGCCTGAAGTATAGTGAAACTCCATTGTTTTCATCCAGCCATCCCCTTGGATGTAAAATAACTGATTTTGTAATTCAGCATATATGGGGAGATATTTTGAAATTATATTCTGAAAGGTATTATATTCTGAAATGGTCATTAGCAATTTTCTTGTGTGGTCTGATTTTGGTAACCAGAAATCCTAGTACAGTACCAGGTTAAAAAGAAGAGACAATAATGTGCTACCATTCTGAGTTCCTGGCTTCTATAATGGCTGGTTGAAAATGGCGTAAATCCCATTTATAGAACCTTCCCCAAATCACATTATTTAAGGGTATTTATAATAGGTATAGTAATTGAAAGTTTCCTTGCCATCTATTGACAGAAGATAAGCATTGTGGCGAAACAGTGTTGCCAAGTGTAGTTGGAACAGCACTTTGCACACCTTGTATAATGCCAGTCTGTCTTTTCTTAAACTGATTTGGTCAGTGGAGCTGTGAATATAGGTGGGCTCAAATAACCTTTAGGTACCATAAGGTCTTAGAGATGTCTTTAAAGTCAGCATTTTAGTAAGGTTATCTCTTGGCAGCCTTTATAGATTAAATCCTGTTTATTTGGGAAGGGGGGGAGTATAGCTGTTGGAGTTGTTCTTTATATGCTATTTTATTTATTATTCTGCAATAGCTATGATGGTTAAGTTTTATAGAATTTAGGGGAAAAGCCATTTAAACCTAGGTATTGCCTATGTGCATTAATTTGAGGGTTTCTTGCATATTCCTTACTGGCAGTTCTTACTATAGGGATATTTATGGACCAGTGGAAGTCTAAAAAGAAGTACAATATTTCTGGTTTGTTTAGTATTTCTTTGTTTTTCCATGAGACACAATGCACATGTAAAAAGGAAAAATTAAACTTAAAAGTTGTTGTAATTTCTATAAATGCTGTTACAGGTGATGTTTTCTTGGCTTATGATTGCTTCAAGGATAATTTACTCAAATTCTTTCAGAAGCAGGTGCAAAATGCAATGTCACTGTACATAGACACCACATATAGGCAAGCTGTGCAAAATCTGGTACCGTGCAGGGGTGTTAAAGCCAATTGCTTTTAGTTTGGTTATAGTTCACATTTTGATGTTTTATGATTTTAGCTAAAACTTTAAAATGTTACTAGTGATTTTTCCCATCTCAATTTCTGGGTGACCAGCTTGATACACCTTGAAGAACTGAGCACTCACTTTCTGAAAATCAGACCCCTTTAAAGTAATTCAACTTGAGCAACTCAGAATGAGACACCTAAAATTACTAACCACATTTGGAAATATTGTTTTTTAAATCTGCAAAAGAAATTATAGAAGAGTAAATGTTCTTCTCTATAGAGGTACTTAAGTGTAAGATAGACATATTTATCATCACAATTCTTTCTTCTTCCCACAGAAATAATTTATTTATTTCCTTGGCATCAGTGGCAATGACAGGCATACATTTTTACAATAGCTTGGGATATTGTTTTCTTTATAACAACAGTGGACTTTGATCCAGCAAGCTTACGCCCATCTGAAATATTACAGAAGTAGTTTTTACTCATAAGTGGGTGCTTAAAAATATTAAGAGGTGAATTTCACACTGTCCCTCTGAGGTAAAAAAGTGTTTTTCCAGTTTTACAAATGGTAAAGTTAAGTTACAGAAAATTTAAGTAACTTGCCTACAGTCACACAGTGAGTGTATGTCAGAGCCAAGATATCTTTCTTCTTCTTTCTTCTTCTTCATTTAAAAAAATGTGCATCTGTCTGTTCATCTGTCTGTGAGTCTGTTGTTTAAGAACTCTTCCTAAATGGTAAGAGTTAGGACCACCAAATTTGGTATGCAGCTTTCTCTTATCATAATGTAAAGCAAGGTAAGGATTTGGTTGTGCCAGGACAATGGGATGTGCCTGAAATTTGATTGTGTCTCATAAAATGGAAAGAGAAAGTTCTAGTAGGAAGGTCAGTTATACAGTTGAATGACCACAGGGAGGCAGCAAGGGGCTAGAGATGGGGATCAGGACCGCTATAACCCCATTGGGCCAGCAGGTGTCAGGGGTGCAGAAAGGGACACGTGATTCACTATATATTTTAGAGAGTTTATGTGTCTATTTGTCTGTCTGTCCCCCATCCTGGGAATATGCTCACTGCAGTGGCCATGGACAGGCACTTCTCATCTGACCCCAAGCTGCTGCAGAGATAGAAGGCTGGGGTTATCCTATCTCCAGGGGCAGATGACCGTTTTGCGGGGCCCCGGGCAGCATAACTCTGCGGGGCCCCCCCTTTGCCACGGCGCATGCGCGGGGCTTTTTTAAGCGCGGGGTCCGGGGCGGCCGCCCCATTCGCCCTGCCCTATATCTGCCCCTGCCTATCTCCCTGGGACAGCCTGCATAATGAACCTCTCATCTCCAGCCCCACCCCAGAGCAATGATTTAAATGAAGAAAAACAAAACTTGAGTTAGAACCTGAGCAATGCCAGGTAAACCTTTGAGTAACCTATATCTCAAGACTCCAAGCCTTGTGCTTTAACCACAAGAGCCTCTTTTGTGATAAGAACACTATATTTCTTGTGCCCTTTGTATTTATAGTCTTTCATCAAGAAATCAGTCCATTGCCATTGTTTCTTTGTATTATAAGTAACAAATTTAAAAAAAATCAATTCTAAGCATCTCTTGAACAAGGAGTTGTGGCTAAGTAATCTGGGCGGTTAATTTAGAGCCTGGCGGCAGCTCTTATACACTCATAGACTCATAGACTTTAAGGTCAGAAGGGACCATTATGATCATCCAGTCTGACCCCCTGCACAGTGTAGGCCACAGAATCTCACCCACCCCTCCCAGAATAATCCTCTCACCTATATCTCAGAGACTGAAGCCTTCAAATACTTTGAAGACGCCAAGATGCAGAGAATCCTCTAGCTGTGATCTGTACCCCATGCTCTTGACTAGGGATCCCTGGTGAGGAGGAAGAAAGACAGGAAGTTTAATTTGGGAGGTCACCCTCCCTTGGTAAAATGAGGAGAGTGAGTAAAGAAATCCCCTTTTTCTGAGTGGGGAGTTCTTCCGAGGCAAGCACACAGACTTGGTTAGATGAGTTTGGGAGGGGTTGCCAACAATCCCCCCCTTTTTTTTCATTTCTGTGTAAGATTGGGAGTTGCTGAGTGTTGCAAAAAGCAGCTAGAATGGCGGTTGAGTACTAGAAACAAAATACAGGACTATGTAGCACTTTAAAGACTAACAAGATGGTTTATAAACCATCTTGTTAATCTTTAAAGTGCTACATAGTCCTGTATTTTGTTTCAGCTACACCAGACTAACACCGCTACATTTCTATCACTATTCTACATGTTGAGTACTACTAATTAATACATAATAATACAATATTATAATAATAATAAAATGTAATAATAATACAATAATAATACTAAATCCTGGGAAGAGAGGTGGGGTGGGGATGCTAAGAAAACAGCCCTGTAGAAAAACAGTTTCTTGCCATTTTAACCAGAAAGGACACTCTCTCAATGACTTAACCACCTGCATTCTTCTACAAAGACCTTTTACATCTGCACTTGAAAGGGAATCCTCTGAACTGTCATTCATGTTAAAATTTGACACTCTCCAAAAAGGAATGAACAAACACTCAAACTATCTTACCCATTACCAAGATAGCTTCCCCAATTATCACCTCTAATACCATTAACTCACAAACATCCCACTCTCCCCACCTCTAATATCATCACTATTTGATCTGAGGAAGTGGGTCTGGCCCACGAAAGCTCATCATCTAATAAACCATCTTGTTAGTCTTTAAAGTGCTACATTGTCCTGCATTTTGCTTCAACTACCCCAGACTAACACGGCTACATTTCTAGCCCTGTAGTTCTGATGGCTGTGGGATGCCCTCCTGGCTCTGAGAGCTGGGGCTGGGTGGGTTGCCTGGGCCTGTGGGGGCAGGCCCAGAAAAGGAGTGCACAAAGTCTCCTCCTATTGCCAGGGGCATCGGTGCCCTAGAGGGAATCTTTGGGGGAGGCAAAGGTGCTCCCCTACCCCCAGACTAATCATGGACTGTGGGTGGGGAAGCAGGAAAATATCCTGGCCCCGACCCTTCCACTTTAGGCCCTGCCCCTTCAGGAGAGGCCCAGGACCACTTAAAAAATTTCTGAAGTGGCCCCCGGCAAAAAATTATTGCCCACCCCTACTGTAGAATCTGGTATTAGTGAGTTATCTGGCAGCCTGCTGTTCATAATCTGTTCTGTTCATGATGACTACAGCACCCCCTTTGACAGCCTCTTTGATTATGAGGAAATGCTCTTCTGTGCCCAGGAAGAGACCCCACCTCTGCCCGATGCTGGATGGCTGAGATGTAGGGCAGGGCATGCCTCTCCCAACAGCTGCAGCGAGAGCAATGTACCCCAGCTCTGGCCTCCAGCGATGCTGCAGCCTGGCAGCCAGAGGTCCGCAGCCCACTGCAGCTGGCAACCACCACTCTACACAACAGATAACAGTTGGAAAGGACTGTTGATTCTTCGCAACAGTGATAAAATTCAAACAGTGGAATGAATTACTCCCCCCCCCACTTGTAGCTTTCCTGCTGCTCCCTCTGGACCTTCTGTTCCACTGTCCCTCTGTTTCCCCACCCTCCCCTACATGCCTGCTGCCCCTCGTACCTCCCTCTGTGTACACTGTATCCTCACCTGTACCCTCCCGGCTGCCTTCCCCCACCTGCCCATCTGTACGCTCTGCCCCAGCCTGTACCTTCCTTACTGTCTTCCCCCTTTCTGCCTGCCCATACTTTCCTCTTTGTTCCTTCTTTCCTCATCCATTCCATCCTGTCTCCAGTGTCTTCCTTTCTGCCCCCAAGTTCATTCCCCTCCATTTTCCCACCTGATTCCTGCACTTAACCCAGTATCTTCTGTTCTGTTTCTACTTGTTCTCTCAAGATTTCAGCCTCTCACTATATCTTTTTCTCTACCACCTGTCTACAGAGCTTTTCTCTCCATGGAAACTACTCTGTCTGCTCTTCTTAGAGCTTGTAATTTTCTTTCCTTCATTGATCCCTTTTTATAATAATGCTGTCTCTTTCACTAGCACTGTGTAGGACTTATTCTCAGAGCATTTCATAAACACTAACTAATTCATTCACTCAACATCCCTGTTAGATACTCATGCAATTATTGTTCTCAATTTAAAGACAAGGAAACTGAAAGACTAAGACTGTGTCTACATTCCAGACCTTACAATGGCATAGGAACACCTCTGTAAGGTCTTCTATATAGTTGTTCTATGCTGAGAGAGAGAGCTCTCCTGCTCACATAATTAATTCACCCCCAATGAATGGCAGCAGCTGTCTTGTTGGGAGAGTGTCTTCTGCTGACATTATACACACTGATGCTTCTGCTAGTGAAACTTGTGTCAATAAGGGAAGTATTTTTTCACACCTCTGACCAACAAAAGTTTTACTGACAAAAGTCCTGATGTAGACATGGCTTAAGTGACTTGCCCAAGCTCATGTTGTGCGTTAATGCTAGGGCTGGGGATAGACGTGGCTCTCAGGCCTGTACTTCAGCCCCTAGAGATTGTGCTGCCTTCATTCTGTTTGCATGTGTTCATAAACATGGTTAAATGAACTGATGTCTTTTCTGCCATGGAAGCTCACAGCAGATGTTGGGATGGGGAATACATAGTGACAGTCTATTGGAGATTAGAGCCAGGGGAAAACAGACAGCTCATTAGAAGGAAGGTGCTGTATCCCTTCTGTGTTCACGGTTTTTGGAAATAGGGGCAATTGCAGTGGGTGGCCAGTATAATGACTATGACAGTATGCAATAAGAGGATTTTGCTTGATGTTACAGATTCAGTGTAGTTTCCAGAGAATTAACGATACAATTATGAAATATATTTATTAGTGATGTTAGATATACTTTATTTTAGTAATTGTGTAGCTGCAACATTTTTTAGTGGTTACTTGGTTATTAAAATGCTCGTCACTGAGGGCTGGGCTGGCAGCCAGTGAGCTACTGGCCCCACTCCTGGGGAGTCCCATCCCACGCCTCACTGCTGTCTCTGTATCAGTTTGACCAGCCTGCCGGTCCCAATTTAAAATGCAGAGCATGTGAGGGAGAGGGTGTTGTGGTTAACTGGACCTGTTAACCAATAAGTAATCACATATCGGTTAAACAGTTAGCCGGCTAGCTGCTAACATCCCTAATATTTATTATTATAGTAACACTGTTTAGCATCATAGCTGCAATATGCTAAGTGCTACACAACTACCGACTTAGATTCAGTAAGTGTTTCTGTGCAGGTGAACTTGCATTCCAGTCATGACTGTGTCTCCCTCTATTGACCCATGACTTGGATAATCCCACCCACACAGAGTCTATCATAGAAGTAGATATGGTCCCTGCCCAAAAAACTTAAGTATATTTTTAAAGAGTAGAATAACAAGAATTAGTCATGATTTTTGGTGGGCGGGGGGCTAAGTTATTTTTCACTAGCTAGTGTGGTGTTAAACTCATAGGGGCAATCCACAATATCAGGAATAAGTCATTTTCCTAGTGGTTGTCAGCAAGTGATAGCCTCCTCCTTCCTCAGTCTTCCTTTAGTTGGTGTTGAAAACTTTTTAAGTGCTTGAATAGATAGGGCAAAAATGCTTTCAGCTAGCCATGGTGTCCAACCAGTTCTGAATCCTATAGTGGCTACTGCTATAGCCAGGGCTTGACAAGCGGCGGTGAGCCCTGCTCGCCAGCTGCATGGTTTGGCATGCTGTGCATGCACAGAATGCGCTGCACGTGCGCTGATCATGCTGCGGCGCCGTGCCAGGCTAAAATCTACTCACCACGGGCAAGTAGATTGCCCTAATTGTCGAGCCCTGGCTATAGCAAACTAGTCAAACTCAACCAGCCAAATAGCTGCATTATTCAAGCCAACTAGACATGTGGCTAGTGAACAGAAGAATGGCCATACTGGGTCAAACCAAAGGTCCATCCAGCCCAGTATCCTGTCTGCCAACAATGGCCAATGCCAGGTTTCCCAGAGACAGTGAATCAAACAGGTAATGATCAAGCAATCTCTCTCCTGCCATCCATCTCCACCCTCTGACAAACAGAGGCTAGGGACACCATTCCTTACCCATCCTGGCTAATAGCCATTAATGGACTTAACCTCTATGAGGTTGGACACCATCGAACTAGAAAAACTTGAAAAACAATGAATGGTCTAGCAGCACCTTAAAGACTAACAAAACATGTAGATGGTATCATGAGCTTTCGTGAGTACAACCCACTTCAGATGAACGTTTTTCAAGTTTTTCCAGTTGCAGACTAACTCGGCTACCCCTCTAAAGCTTTTGACCATGGAACTAGTAGTGCATGATGAAAGTGGTCTCAGCCATTCTTTTTGAAGTTGTGTTGAGAATCTGATTGAATCATAGAATATTAGGACTGGAAGGGACCTCGAGAGGTTATCGAGTCCAGTCCCCTGCCCTCAGGGCAGGACCAAATTCTGTCTAGACCATCCCTGATAGACATTTATCTAATCTACTCTTAAATATCTCCAGAGATGGGGATTCCACAATCTCCCTAGGCAATTTATTCCAGTGTTTGACCACCCTGACAGTTAGGAACTTTTTCCTAATGTCCAACCCAAGTTTAATTGAAGGGAAAGTATGACTCAATTGAATGTCCCCAGTAGTTTGGGATACAGATAAGTACCAGTCATTAACATTTTGTCAACATTTAATTTATACAGCTATCACTGAAAAAACTGTTAAAATGGCACTATTGGTATAAATATTGTGGTCAAATTCACTGGAATGATAATGACCTAGTAAGAAGTGATATAGTAGGAGTCACTCCCTATGAATTGTTTAGGCATGGCTTTCAATAAGCCCTGTTAAAAACGCGGTGTGACATCAGGCACATAAGATTCCTTTTTGGATTTCATAAGCTAGGACACGAGAACTCGGTTGCTTGTGTACATGTTTTGGTTTACACTAGAACATGTATTTTTTTAGAAGGAATCTGTTGGGAAAATATTAGTGAGTTAAATAAAATCATATTACAAAATTTATAGAGGTTTTTTTTTAATTGGAACTAAAGATAACTCCTTAAAAAATGAAAAATATTGTTTTCTTATCAAATACACTATATAAGGAAGAATAGTTTATATAAAACCATTTTAATAAAACACCAGCAAGATTGTTGGCTTATTTTATTATGCTAACAATGTTCATTCAGTCTGTTCAAAGGAGTTATTTGACATTGTGAAATTTTGACAAAATATTTGATTACCTATTCAGGACTAGGAAAAAATATTTAAATAAAAGGAAGCGGGAACATTTGGAAGGGCAGGCTCAGTGCAAAGGATTGTATAATCACACAGAACTTCTGTTTGGCTTTGCTGCCTGTTGAATCTGACAGTAAAGTTTACTGAAAAGAAAATACCTTTTTAAAATAATAGATATGGGGCCATTTATGGGGGTTTTCCCCCTTGCTTTTGTGTTGTTGGACTAATAACAGAAAAATGCATCTTTCTTGCTATAAATACTAAGAGATAACAGCTATGAGTACTAGAAAGTGATGTGAATGTGACTAAGCAATCTTATGGTCCAAATGAAGTGTATTTAATTCATTTTAGAGGACTTTAATACCTCCACGTTATTTAAGTAAGTTATTTTGTTTCTGAAGTGTGTAACCAGCTCCCTTTGTAAACAGACTTGGAATTCATTACTGCATCATCCAAAATAGCTAAGTGACTGAAAACTGTGAGTCAGAATCCTTGTAGTAGTGATTCATTACTCTCTCTCTTCTCCTACATACCTGTTCTGGAATTCACTTTATTTTCCTTTCTGGGCATTATTGGAAAAGCATTCCAAAGAAAGGTCTTTCTAACTCAGAGATACTTTTCTTTTGTTTACCTGAATTGTATTAATCTGTAAGAGTACTATTTGGCAATTCCTTTTCAGTCCTGATTGTATTTCTCTTTGATGTCGATAGTCTTCAGTAGAGCATCAGTAAGTATTCATTTCCAGTGTACAAACTTTTTGAATTTATCTGCTATAGTTAATCTTGTTTTAGCATGGCATGTTGCATTGTTTTATTTGTTCTGAATATTCAGTTTAGAAAAAGAATAAAAATGTATTATCACAGCTAAGAGGGAAAAAGTTCGTAAAAATTAAAATTCCTAAGTAAACTATTTTTCATTTAAGAAAAGTAGTTATTGCAACAGGCCATACAATCTGTTTTAATTTCAAAGTACAACCTGAAAACAGTTCTTGCTACTTAGATAACTTCAGTTAGTGTATTTATTGTCCTTTAGGACAATAACATGACTGCTGCATCACCATTTTCACAGTCTTATTTTTTGATGTATTATTTGAAAGTTAAAGATTGTGCTCTGCTCAGTATGCAAGATTATAGAAAGATCTGTTGACTATATTCCTATGTAATGCCTCTTTATACAAAAACTAAGCATTATAATGATTATTTTGTATCTGATATTTACATGGCAAGGATTTGCAAACTTGTTAAAGCAGGGCTACTCAACTTTGGAATCCCTGGGGGCCACAGTGATACTCACAGCACATGCAAAGGGCTGCAACTTAAGTGTGGTTGCATATTCATGCAAATATATATGCAAATAGCTTCTTTCACACAATGCCCTGACACTTCTGGCACCTCCTCCCTGGGGCCTAGACCCTGCACCTGTCTGTTCTAAGGATGTTAAGCATCAGGTAATTGACTAATCGCATAGTCAATGCATTTTTGCATCGACTATTCGATTAATGGAAAGAATGTCTCCGCCTTTGAAATGTAACAATGGCCGTAAAGCTGTTGCTACACTTCAAAGGTGAAAGCACTGAAGCCCGGGGTCAGCTGCAGACGCCCCCACTAACTCCGGGCTCCGTGCGGCTCTGCCCGGTGCTAGGCTCCCCGCAGCATTCAAAAAGGCAGCGCCGCGCAGAGCAGCTGACCCTGGGCTCTGTGTGGTGCTGCCACTTTGAAGTACCCCTCTATCTGAGGGAGTGACTTCCTAAATAAATAGTGTTAAAAAAAGTTAATATGTCCTCCAACATTATCTTCCTTTGTTTAATAAAACACACAGTTATAGGGCTATATTGATGATAATATAAATCATTTTTGAGGTTCCACAAATATTTGCAAGAAAGCCATTCAAATGCATACAAATACGTTACTTGTTTCCTTTTTGAAGAGGCTTCCTTTTTCCCTACCTCAGAAGTATTCCTAAGGTGATTTATTTGACCAAAATGTGGTTTCCAGATTTGTTTTTTAAATGATCTGTACTAGTGCAGATGCATATCATCACTTCAAATATGGAGCTTTTTAAGATTTTATAAAATTAGATCAAATCTGAAATGAATTTGCATACCGCCTTAAAGTAGACTTTAAACATTTGTTTGCCAAGTTGTTTCTAGAAGACGCTGTTCCTGGAATTATTGAGGTTCAGAGTACACTGGTTAAAGTGCAGTCATGTTGGCTAGAGACCTGATTTCGCTAAGTTTTGATAACAGGCTCTCCAGGACCTGTGAAATGCACTTTTCAATTTATGCAAAGGGCATTTTACTTGAATAAAACTATTCATTTTTTACATGTGCTTGTTGTGATATGAAATAACAGTAAGTTTAATTTTAAATTAAGAACACAATCCACTATCCTAACAAAACATATTTTAAATTGCAATTTTAACAATATATTTAAAAGAACAACCACTATATTAACTAGCTTGTGAAGCATAACAGAATTGTTTATCTGTAACAAATTTATAATGATTGAGGGAAAGAAAATTTATTCTTTTCTGATCCATCTCCTGACAGGTAAAGAATGATAAATTACGATGAGTCTATTTGATAGCTTTTTCTTGTTAGGAATCTTCAGACTTAAGAGGTTGCTCAAGTTTTTCCCAAAGATATTGCATCCAATTCTACTTCACCTTGATCACCTCCATGAAGCAACATATTTTGATCAATTAAGTAACCGCCTTAGACAGGCTCCATAGAACTTACAAAATCAAGCTCAGGATGTAATGATGATGTAATGTTAGGCATAGTTGACATATACGTGGAACTGATAACAGTGTTAGACATGCTGGTGTGATTCTATAAAAATGCTTTCTGTTTTCTTGCTCAGGAGGGCCATCAATAAATTAAAGTGATTTTTATTGAAACAGACAGTATCAAAAGATTATTTCACAAACCAAATAAAATCTGTTTGCTTTCAAAATCAAGCAACTTCCCCAAAAAACAATGGCTTATGCTTTCAAATTGCCTTGAAAAGAATTAAGAGCAGATTAGAGAAACATCTAAATGGTCTAGGTGGTGCTTGGTCCTGCCATGATTGCAGGAGACTGGACTTGATGACCTCTTGAGATCCCTTTCAGTCCTATGATTCTATGGTTCTAAAGCAGCAGGCTATGAAATGGTGGTGGTTCACCAAGGTCAGCTCCAAGTGGGCCACTGCTGCTATATTTACCTGCATCTCTGCAGGTATGGGTAATTGCAGGTCGTATTGCCCAGGAATGGTGATTTCCCCCCCCCCATACCTGTGGAGGTACATCAGGTATGGGTAATTGCAGGTTGTATTGCCCAGGAATGGTGATTTCCCTCCCCCCCCCCATACCTGTGGAGGTACAGGTAAATATGGCAGTGTGGGAGCCTGCCAGGGGCTAACTCTGGCAGACCAGATCCGGCCCATGGGCTGGTTTTTACCTACCCCGTTCTCAAGCTATCTAATTTAAGAGAACTCTATAACCTAGAGGCTTTACCTTCCTTATGGGTTGTAGGCTGATTGACCTGCTTCTGGATGTTCAGTTTTTCTGGTGCTTTTGGATGTAGTCATGCCAGTTTAAATGAATGGCCTTTGCTTGTTTCATTTGCTTTATAGTGACCAGACTTCAGTATGTTCATTAGAACATAATCCAGTGGTGGGCAACCTGTCGGGGTTCCATGTATGGCCCACAAGACATTTTGTTTGCCATTGCCCATGCTCAGGGTTGCCGTCCTTGTAGTCTTTTTCCTAGCAGTATTACTCAGGTGACACACGTAAAGCAAGGGCATGTGAAGTGAGGTGCATGCTGATTACACGTTAACTGTGAGAGCCGTTTGCTTCTTCTGCATCCAATCGGAGTGCTGCTATAGTTCAATCAGTGCACCCTGCGAAGTCTAGGATATAAGTATGCAAAACTAACCCATCCCAGGAGACAGTTTTGGTTATGACAATCTAGTGGCCCACTGAGATGAGTGAGGGCCACTCAATCAGTGTTTCAGACCACTCCCTAGCCTAGGTTGCCCATCACTGCCATAATCATTTGATATCAAATGTAAAGATAAGTCTTTTAATTCGTATATTTAAAGCTCACCTTAAAGTTATGCAGTTTCTTTTCTACATCATAACGGTAGATTCAGTACTCCAATCCAAATATTACAATGTTCCCTTCTAAAATAACTGTCAAAGCTATTTTCCTTTAATAGAATTATTTAACTTTCAGTATTGTCAGGTGTTATTACTGTCAGTTTTTGTTGGTGTATTTTTGAGTTATTTGGACAAGTCCTATTTTTAAACCCACACATCTTTTGACTAGTCTAAGAGATTTCATTGCAGTAGAGAACCGGATTTTGTACTTTAGTTTGATAGTGATTTAACTATTCCTGTTTCAGCTCTATGTGCTGAATAACCCTTTCTCATTTTAATAACATTTAAATCTTGCATGCTGGAGTTTTTAATAGCACATAAAATCTCTGGGATTTTTTTATTCACAAGTTTTGTAAACATAAAATGAACATTTCAATTCAATGTAATGTGGCTTTAAGCAGTTATTTTCACTTCAGTAATTTGAGCAGTTCTGTTGCATCACACCCTTTGCACTGATTTGAGTAGATCATTTTTCTAAGCCTCATAGAGGCTTTTCCTGATTGGTATTTTGTTTGAGCAATAAACAAATCTGCTGACGTGTATGTTCTTTGGTGTTTGCTTGTTCCTGACCTTTGCTTTTGAGACATGTAACTGATAGGTTTATTCATAGTGTTGTGTGACTATTCATGTGGTGATACTTTTTATTCCCTTAGTCATTTTCTTCTTTCTTATCTGATCAACTCTGTTTCCAGTTACTCATGATGTGAATGAGGAATTCTAGGTTTCTTCTTGGCTAACTCTAACCTTTTGAAAATTGGGAGAAAGGGAATGGGACAGCAGATGCGTAGTGGATGGATCATAACTGTGCTTTAAAGACTCATATTAAATTACTCTATTCCTTTTTTTCTTTTCCTCAAGCTTTCTTCCTGTGATAGGTCTGTTCCTTTATGGCAACACTGAACATTTTTCTTACCTAGGGCTAATAATTGATTGTTTCAATAGCTACTAAGCTGCTATTACCCCCCCCCCCCCCCAGTAACAATGGTCGGTTTGTAGGTTTTGGCTTGTGTTGAGCTGTGATTCATCCAGTTTGTACTACATTACTCATGCAAAGCTGCTCTTAAGCCATCTTGCTCAGCCACTGAATGATCACTCCAATGGAGGAAGATCCTCAGGTGGCATTGGAACCTGCAACAAGTATCGGGGAGGAGGTGGAGTGAGGGAATGGAATGAGGTTTTGCCTAAGGAAAAAAGACATGGCCAGGGTGTCTTGGCAATTGATACGTGTCACTAAGTACCTTATGATTGCAAAATGTTATCCAAGCAATACTTCAGAACACCCTCTGTGATAGGTAAGTATACTCATCTCAGGAAATTGAGATGAAAAGGTTAAGCAAGTTGCCAATGGCAAAACAGTGAGTCAGTGGCAGTGATATTTGTACGTCACAAATATTGCTTCAGAATTGGTCCACATTCTAGCTTCTTGCAAAATGAATCCTGACTTCCTCAGATGAACAGCATCCATCACTAGTGTGTACATTGAGGGGCTATTTTTATGTTGAGAATTGTCCATTAATCAAATTCTATGCCATAAATGCAGCATTTCTTGATAAGATTTTACAGCGTAGTACTGTGGGTCCATATCCTTTGAACAAACTTAGGGTATATGGCCTTCTCAGTGTCACTTAGTTATTTCCCAGAAGAAGAGGGGCTAAAACTGGACCATTCTAGTTGTATTTTATTGGCCAGGAAGAACTCATTTGTGTGCTACCAGGATCTCATGTACCAGTGTTTCTCCCGGAGAAGATATTTTAACTTTAAAACTTGATGATTGACTTAAGCACCAGATAGACCCCATAATTAGTGTCTAATGGAAAAAGTATATTTACTTTCTTTCTTTTGGACATAGAGCTGGACAAACATTTTTCAGCAAATAGAAAATTCACCCGGAAATGCATGGTTATATGATAACTTATGAGAACAGAAACTATCCATAGTCTCTGAGCTCTCAAAAAAGTGTCCTAACTACTGGGCTATGGGATATTACACCGTTTCTCTTTCAGTCCCTCCTGTTGAAGCTATTTCACTTTGTATAAATAATTCGGAGTAGGAACTTGAACTTAGGTCTTTTTCATCTTAGGCAGGTACTCTAACTATCAAGTAAATCATTCTCACATTCCTTCTAGCCCAGGGACTATTATCATAATTCATAGTAATTCTTAATGACTATTCACTAGTCTGTCTTTACGAAGTCCCCCTATGATTGACAATGAATAGTATAGAATATGGAAATGTTTATAATCTGGTGGTTCAGGTACCATCACCATACTGGAAAGTCAGTTCACACAACTGTGGTGATTAGGACAAGATGGATAATGCACTGACCCATCCACAGTATTCAGGGGCAGCCCTAGACTAGCTGCCAGCAACTGGTGCCCTAGGCTAATCATGCAATCAGCGCCCCCCCCTCCAAACCCTTCAATGATATTGCACCATCATTTGGCGCCCCATTTAACTTGGCGCCCTAGGCTGCCCCGACGGTATTTATCCCTTTACATATATATGCTTAATTTCCATAGGAAATCTTCAGTTAAATAACTCTTACGGCTTCTGCACAGACCTGTTTTAAAATTAATTAATTTGTACTACCATTGCTGAGACTTCTATTTTTTCCCATCACTACACTTGCAGGAAGAATGGTGAGTGTTGAAAGTATGAAGATCCAGGTTCTTTTCCCTATCGCTGCAATAGACTTGCTATGTGACTTTGGACAAATCATTTAATGCCTGCCCATGCTTTTGTTTCCCCATCGTGAAATATATTGATATTGTGAGTCTAAATTAATTGTTTGTAAAGTGCTTTGAAATTATCCAATGGAAGCAAAAGAAGCTATGAAAATGAAGATTATATTTTGAAATTTAAGGCTAAATTATTCTTTTTATGATTTACTAAAAATATTATATTTTTACAAAGTTTAGAATGCTCACTTCTAAAAGTGTCTTAGTATGCAGACGGTGCAATAGTCTTAACTTCTATTGGCTGTGAGAATAATAGAATTGGATATACCAAGTGGCAGTTTATTCTATGGGCACAAAGCCAGTCCTGGAGTTATTTTAATGTAAGATTATAAATCTTGTTAAATAAGGTGTTTAATAGTAATGCTGAAAGACCCTTAATTTATAAATAACTAAAAAACAGATAAACATTTATTGTGAAATGAGGGTAAAACTAACGTCTCAGATTTCTGAGCTTAAAATTCCACCCCTATAAATAGATTCTCTGTGAATACAAACTGTAGTCAATACTCATTGGATTCTCATAGTTTTCTCTGGTAGCTTCACCTGAGTACACAGCTCATAACTAAACATCATGTTGCGGCAGTCCTTGCTGTAACAGTCAGACATTCTTTAACACATCTAAAATGTTTGGTCCAACATAGTGTTCAGGGGTAAACTATAGTAAGCAAAACTCAGCTCAAACTAAGTTCCAGAAAATTGATAACTGTATATCAAACAATGAATGTATCTACTAATGTGTGCTAACGGCTCTTAGTTTTTTCATCCCCTACTTCAGAGTCCTCATAATTCATACAGATTTGTTACAGTGTTTTATATAATATTTCAATAGTGCTTAAATTCATTTTGCTTTATTTCTTTCAGACCCCTTAAGATTTGGACATGTCCTTCATATTTGATTGGATTTACAGTGGTTTCAGTAGTGTATTGCAGTTTTTGGGTAAGTTTTTATGCTACTCTATTATAGTTGTTTTCATTTACCTTTGCATCCTTCAAGTATAGTACTACTAAAACACAGCATTTATTTTGGTGTAAATTAAACTACTTTCAGATTAAATATGTAAAATACTAAACCGAGTTATTCACTTAACAACACTGACTCTTTGTTGTCCCCTTCATCCATCCTTCTGTTAATCTCATTCACTTCCTTTAAATCTAGAGAAAAGTGCATTTTTTTGTTTTTTTTTAGTGTGGGACTTGCATAGACCTAGTGGTGAATGGTTCTGCTGTCTATGACTGGTGGAATCAGGGAGCTGATCTCTGACAGGCAGAGACATGGTTTCCTCACACTAAAGGCAGGTGGTAGTGAGATACACAGGATTGTGAGGTATCCCAGGAAGAATCTCTCCAGTATGAATATAATGGCCTTGATTTTCCACTTACACTAATTAGATTTATACTGATGTGGAATCTATTCACATATGTGGAGTTACTCCTTATTCTCATAGTGCAAGAGGGGAGAACTTAGACCAGTGATTTGACTTTATTATTTAATTACTATTTATCATTTGTGTTATGAAATCACCTGGAATCCTCTTTCAGGATCAGGGCTCAGTTGTGACCCAGTATAATGACAGAGGGCCAGATTCTGACACCCTTACTCATATTGAACAATACCTCACTCCATGAGCAATACCAATGCAGACAGTGGGACCACACTAAGTTAAACATTACTAAAACCAGATGAAGGGCATTAGAAGGGACCATAATATGAAAACAGCATCTAGCCAAAAGTGTTTCAAGCCAGGTTGATACAAGATGCAATATGTGAATTTTATCTGTCAACAGACAGGGCCGGGAAAGGAATATGAGGATAACAAAGGGACCCAGTGTTACATAGACCAGTAATATGTATGATTTACAGATTTTTTAATATTATATTAAATACATAATACAGGATATTACTGAATCATGCCAAGCTACTTGCCTAGCCATTATCAGGTAGATGTTTAAACTTGCTGTATGTTAGACCCTTGGCCAGCTATGTGAGTGTTAGTTAAAATTTCACTGGCTAAGTGGAATAAACTCTTATCTCTCCCACTTTATTTATTATTCAGCGACTGCTGCACATTTTAAAACTTCCCTGCCCCCCACCACAATCCTCCAAGGATATTTCTAGTGAAAGAGATACTATTGAATAAAATGCCAGGGAAAATGTTTCTTGACGTGTCCTTTGTATATGTTCTCGAAGGACAACTTACTTCCTCCTTTCTTACTCTTGCTCAACGATTTTTTCTTTTTTAATTAAAATAAAGGGACTATCTTGTTGTGATTAAAAATCAAGCGCTCTTAATTTATTATATAGTGTCTATTTAATGTTAATGATGTATTATTATCATGAAGTAGATTATAACATTGTGTAAATCAAAAGAAAAATGCACATGAAGAGATTTCTGGATAGGATTTTTTTCTGTATATTGTGATGTACTTTATAGCCGCAGTATTACTAATTGAGCACATTATATTGTTATTAAAAACAACACAAATTGTATTAAAGCATAGAGAAGCAATAGTTTCTAATTTGCTGTTTCATTCTGCCCATAATGTGCCTGTACTTTAGATATTTATAGCTCAGTGATACTAAGATGCTCTTGTTTAAAATAGGGAAACAGTAACTTGGCTCAGGAATGAGGTGTTATTTGTTCTTAGTAGAAAATGTGAAGGGAGTATATTTAGCTGTTTTTTCAGAGAAAGCGATCCCAAAAAACTATAGTCATCCTACACAGTTATCTTCCCCATAATGAATTCACTTGTTCTTAAACTTCCTGAACGGAGGATATAAACACTTCTTCTGTGGCAGATACCGAGCAATATAAGAACTCGTCAGATGACCTTCTCTTGCTTATAGATGGCGATGACTGTTTTACTCGGGAGCTCGACAGATAAGCAGGATAATTTGTATGTACCAAGAGCTGAATTTAAGAAGTCAGACTCTGAAGAAACCAGTTTTTTTAATTGGCTTTATAAATGCACCATGTTTTTAACTTGCATACTATTAGTATTTGTGATTTTAGCACAAGAGAACACATCAAATAGACATCAAGTAACATACCTGTAATAGTAAAGAGTACCAGACCCATTCTCCTCATTTGATTCTGTTAGTGAATTGCAGCCTTCTCTCTCAAAGTTATAAATGTTCCCTGTTGGAACATTTGATTGTAGAGATTACAGTTTAAAGAAAGAGACAGTAAGTAAATAATACCAGGGTAAAGGTCAACAGGGTCAATGTTTGTATGTGTGTGGAATGCTCCAGTGTCTTAGAAGTGGTCTAATTCAGAATCCAAATCAAAGATTCATTAAAAATCCTCATTAAACAAAAGCAAAGGTCAGAAAAAGTCTCATCACCAGTTCAGCCTTCTTTGGGTATGGTGCAAGTAGGATGTCTTCTTTATCAAAATCCTTCATCAGTAACCTACGACCCAAGCAGTGCACTGTCCGGCCCATTTTTAGAAGAACCGTGACCATAAATACTTAGACTTTTTTGTCTTTTCTCCAAAATGTGAACCCAGCAAGTGAAAATATAAATAATACACAACTTTGGACAGTTGCATTAGAATACATAGTTAAGCAAAATGAATGCAGAGAAACTAAGATGGTGAACTTTAATAGCACATTCTAAATTGTATAATCCAACAAGTTATTACATTAATTATATCTTTATCTTCATAAAGTTTGTAAAATAAATATTTCCTTAATTGTCTATCACATTGCCAAATACAATGGCATCAGGTAATGAAAGACCCTAGTATAGAATGGTAACCATGGAAAACCCAGTTTACTTCACTACATTGGTTGTTTCCTGTACACAGAAGAAGAAATAGAATTGCAGTGGTAAATTTAGCTATCGCATATAATACTGATTTGTTTTTCTTAATGGCACCCATTTTATACTCCTGATGGTATTCTGCACCAAAAAAATTTAAGTTTTGCAAATGTTGTCAATAAATAATAATGGACCCTCCAGCTTGGCAGTGGTTGATTGCACAGAAGTAGCAGATCACTCTGCGCTTCCCCCTCCCACAGGCACGTACTTGGTGGTTAAATAGCACCTGACCTTGACACAGCTCAAGGACTAGGACCATCCTAGAAAAACCAATGAGTCTATCTGTGCCAACCACATTAGATTGTAGGCTAGCAGGTGCAGTCCAGCAAGATCCAAGTATGAAGGGGCTTAGTGTAGGGAGATCCAGATGTAGGATGATAGGGTTGTGTGTGGGGCAATGTGAGTACAGGTAGCTTGTTGGGGGACTCTGGGTGCAAGGGAGATCTGGATGAAGAGTAACTCATTTTGGTGGAGGGGCAGTTTGGGTGCAGATACAATGGGGCTCTGCAGGGATCCAGGTGTAGATGGTTGGGGCTCAGTGGGAAGGATTTGGGTGTGGAAGGTTTAATGGGGTGAGGATCCAGGAGCTGGTTTGGTGGGCTGTGGTCTAGGTGTTGGCTTGGTAATGTTCTATGGAGCGGAGGGCTGGGTGCAGAGGGCTAGTCAGGGTAGTCCAGGTGCACATGTGCTGGGACTTCTTGGGGAGGGAGTTTGAGGTCAGGGACGGTCTGGATACAGGGATGAGGTCCAGACGCAAGGGTGGGTGTCTAGCTGCAGGTTCTTGTGGGGTGGGTGCAGTGGTTCTGGGTGCAGGGAGTGAGGCTTGGCAGAGGCAATCTGGGTCTGAGATGGGTCCAGATGCACAGGGGTTGGACAGATGGGAAAAGGCTCATTGTACAATGACTACTGTCCCAACAGCTGAGGAGTGATGGGAGCAGGAAGCAGAGGTGGAGGAATGTGATGCTTCCTGTAGCTGGAGAGGTTTCTGGGGATGGATCTGACCTAGCCCTGGCCACTCGCTGCTGGGGAAGAAGTTGCCCCATCCTTTCCAGCCCAGCCAGGACTAGTGACTGAATCTGGCACAGGATAGAAGCTGCTGGCCTTGGTGTCCTCATCAGCACCCTCTCCTCAGTGATTTACTACTTGGCTGGCTGCTTCAGAGACCCGAAACAGCATGTCCACTGCTGGGAAGCAGCGTGTGACCACTCTTATGGCTTTCCTTTGCTTCCTGATCAGAAAGGATTTTTTTTTTTCAGGGAAGCAAAGGAATCTGCAGGGGACATGGATTATATTCATGTGCAATGGTGAAGCGTTCTCCCAGAGTAACTTTACCACGGACTTTTCCGTGCTATCAGCTGTGTGGTTGACGGTGGTGATTAACAAAACGTATTTAACACAGTGGCCAGGTCATATTTCTCACTGGAGTTAAGGGGACTTCCTTAAAACAGTTAAAATCAAAGCAGATTCTGTGTTGAACAGGTCTTGAAAGGAAGTGGTGACTTGCAACTTGACATTAGTTTTAAGACTATTGCATACTCAGCATGAAATAATTTGCAGAATCAGAGACTGACTCTGACCCAGGGTTCAGTATTGGGGAGGTATTTTTATAATTTGAGATTATCAAAGGGTCATTCTCTTAATTTAAAAAAGATCTTGTCTTACTTTTTAACCCTTTCTTCCTCCTGTCTAATTGTTTGTACCAGAGGCAAAAACACGGTGAAATTAAAAAGGAAAAATTGTTTTTATGAAGATTATTCTATTAGAGCATTATTGCATGACAGGAAATGTTTTACCAATGCATTATACACTGTTGATGAGACAGTCTTTCGACTCACTTGAGACACAGATGAGTGTTTTAGTCAGACAAGGCTTATTGTGTCTTCAGGCTCTATTGATCAAACTATACCGTGCATCTTCATTTGCCTCAGATCACCAAACAGCAACAGAATATGTGTAGAATTAAAAAATAACAAATACTATTTAAAACCAGTTTCCCCTTTTATTTATCTGCCAAGACAATTTCATTTGCAATAGTTCTAGACAGAGATCATAGTTGAGAAAAACATTCCCAGCTCAGTCTGAGGAAGATATCTTGGGCTTCCAGCAGAGGAGAGGTCCCATAGAATGTGGAAGAAGCCTTTGTTAAGAATAGCTGAAAATGCTATTGCTCATCCTCTGTTATATGTCATAGTTTTGGTCATACATTATTTTATCCTTATTGCTAGTGGGCTGCGCCCCCTGCTTGCTACACTCACCTACCCTCCCCCCACACCCGTCTGCTTTTCTCGCCCATCAGGAAACACTTATATATAAATATGAGAGGGAAAGATTATAAAATCAATGTAGTCAGTAAACGCTTTTTTTTTTTTTAACAGGACTGTATAAGAAATCTGGTAAACTAGTATTTCTTGGATTGGACAATGCTGGAAAAACTACACTGCTGCACATGCTCAAAGATGACAGACTGGGACAACATGTACCTACATTGCATCCCAGTAAGTCAACACTTCCAGTTCTTTAACATTGGAAACAGTTCCTTGATTTTCTCATGTGCCACATTCGTCATCATGTGTTCACTGATATTACAAAAACTAAATTTGTTGTAATATAATTCAATATGGGTTACTGAAAACACTTAGACCTGAAGTGAGCACATTAACAGGGGCTGAGACTTCAGATCATGGGAGATAGAGTGCCTTACATTGTTCAACAGCCACCTCTCCAGCTAGTTGCAAAAATAGCATCAACAGCCTCTACAGAAAGGCTGTTTGGTTCTGTTTGTCTAAAAGGGTGCTAAGACTTTCCTAGGGTGGCTTTGTAAGAGGGGAATTAAACCTCAGATGAAAAATAGACTTAGAGGTCAATGAGGACACACACGATGCTTGGGAGCAAGAGAGGAAGGAGACAGAGTGAACTATATTTTATTTTACATGTGAAATACATAGTGTCACACATTCAAGATCCCTGCAGTGTGGCATTAGTGATGTAAGAAATCTGATTATTGGTCTTAGTCCCTCACTCTATTCAGGAAATATTCCCAGTGAGGACAAAGAGGTTTGCTTGAGTAAGGAGTGCTGTTTCCTTGGAAATGGGAGAAGAAAATTCTTCAGGATAATGGAAGACAAACAGAAAACTTGCTATATGGTGTCACTGTAAAAATCAGTAGCTAGAACAAACAGCTTCTTCTTTGTATTAATTAATGAAAGCAGCATGTAAAATATTGACACCAGAGGGCTGAGAACCAGGAGGATTTGAAGCTCAAACTCTGCTGAGCCATCATTTACTTAGGGCCTGCTTTAAATCTCACTGAAGATGGTGGAAAATCTCCCATTAACTTCAGTGGGCTTTGGATCAGATGCTTGATATCAGATGGTGTGGAGCACATGTTGGTCAGGCCAACAAACAATTGGATAAAAGTGGAATTGGATGGAAACTAAAAGTAAGCTATTCAGAGTAGAGCGAAAAGTTTATTGTTGATGGGGCAGCGCTTTGTGCAACACTGTAAGTGCATGCAGGGTTTGAAATTAAGCGAGCTTCGTTGCCTACAGTTAAAGCTTGGCAAATGGAGGTACTGCTCGAAATGCCGCTGTGCTGCTCTGTGATTAAGTTTCCACAAGCAGGCTTTGGGTTGGGGATCTGGTGCCTTTAAATAAGACACCAGGAAGTACAGCTCTGATGTTGATGAATTAGTGAGCTGGCACCTGGGGGTGCTTCAAAACCAGCCAAGCCTCCCAGAGAGGTTTAGTGTGAGACTGAAGCAAAACAGCTCTACACTGGAACAGGCAGTCAATTTGCAGACTTTCAGCAGTTGCTAAAATGGCCCAGGATTCCGCGTGTGTTTGTGTGAGGCTTTCCCCTATTGAAATACTTGGTCCTGCCATAAGGGCAGGGGACTGGACTCGATGACCTCTCGAGGTCCCTTCCAGTCCTAGTATTCTATGATTGTATGATTCTAGATATAAAATCAAGCTATTTCAGGTATAAAAAGATAAAAACCAACTATGTAGGAATAAGTGATGCAAAGAGAATTTCTCCCATTGTTTTATTGAACATTTTATATATGCTTTAATACCTATTGATGTTTGGTTCATTATTAAAACACATTGCACTTGCCATAACTCTCTCAATCACTTTGCTCTGCTTTTCTTATTGAATAATAGCATAATAAAGGACCTTTCCTCAATTTGAGAGTCAGTAAAAATCTGTTTTCAGAAGCCTGCTAAGTATTTTGTATTGCATGCTATTCAGAAACAAAGAACATACCAGTTTTGTGTATTTTAGCCTCAGAAGAGCTGACAATTGCTGGTATGACTTTTACAACTTTTGATCTGGGTGGACATGCTCAAGGTAAGATAGTGGGATCGGCTATTTTGTTTTTGTTGTAACTATATTGACTTTGGTTCTTATAATTGCAACTTTTATTTTTTTTAAATCAAACAAATGACCGTGCTACAGATACTATTCTTGTTAGATGGATGAAGTGGAATCTTCAGTATGTGTTTATATACCTGTCAAACTGAAGTTTCCACTTCCTGCATCTGACAAAGTGGGGTTCAGCCCACAAAAGCTTATATCCAAACACATTTGTTAGTCTGTAAGTCTTTACATTCCTCAAGTTTTTTGCTGAAACAGACTAACATGGCTACCCCTCTGAAACTTGTCTCCATTGAGTGACATGACCATTAGAAAAAACAAATACAAAAATCAAAATGAAAAAATCCACCCTGATATTTACTATTAGCCTTTATGATTTAAACTTGCATTTGTTGATGTAAGTCTATTGGAACAAGTTCAAGTGTAGTGTACATGTGGAGGTGATCTGTCAGGGCAGTAATCAGTCTTCCACCTCTTCTGCTGCTAAATTGGACTTAAAGTCCAGTATAGTTTATCAAAAATTTCAAGTTCTTCAGATTGTCATAAATTATTTGACTGCTAAATAATACACAAAACCATAGGCTTTTAGAACTGTGCTTATGGATGTGATTAGTTTTTCTCCAGGTTCAAATAAGAATTCCCTTTTTGCTTCATTATTTCAAGCTATGTCAAGCAGGGAAGGTTGTCCTAAAGATTGATTTTAAATTTTTAAAAATAGAACTGGCTGCCTTTTTAAATATTCTGTTATTTAATGAGATCCTGTGCATTATTCTGAATGTTGGGATAATTTCCTGTTGCTGTTATATAACCCTTTTTCTTAGCTCGCAGAGTGTGGAAAAATTATCTGCCTGCCATCAATGGTATTGTGTTCCTGGTGGACTGTGCTGATCATGAGAGATTGGCTGAGTCAAAAGAAGAACTCGATGTACGTAAATAATTTGGATTTAAAAAAAATGAACTAAGGTTCTCGGTACCTAAAAATGCGAACTTCTGCCACCCGACCAGGGTGTTCAGCAGTCTGTTTCTTTTTCCCCTTCCTCCCCCGCCCATGATCTCTATCCAAGGACAATTGCTGTTTGCTGCTGTCCTTGCACACGAGGATACATAGGCTCATTTAATTCCTCTTCCTTTTTTTTCTCCCCCTCATAGTCACTAATGACAGACGAAACTGTTGCTAACGTGCCTATCCTAATTCTTGGTAACAAGATTGACAGACCTGAAGCCATCAGTGAAGAGAGGTTACGTGAGATGTTTGGTTTGTATGGCCAAACAACAGGAAAGGTAATGCTCATTTTCTTGTTGGAAAGTTTGCTTTCCCTGTGCTCCACAGAGAGCATTCTTTTGCATTACTTCTTCTCAGTTACATAAATAAACTGTCTACCCCTCTGAGACTACTTTATTATTCATTGATTTAAAAATGTAATATCTACAAAATAAAGTCTCTAATTTCTGAATTAGATCTTGTTCTACCAATAATTTATTAATTGTTTTCAGGATCATCTTTGTTCAGAGAAAGAAAATCACACTTAAATTATCTTTTATAGTTTCCTCTAAAATACTTTGAGTGAGCAAGCCTTTAAAGATAGTTCAGATTAGAACTCTGTTAGGTAATTTGATAAAGTTTGGTAGGTACTGATCTTTCTGATTTATAGTGCAGGTTTATCGAGTAATACAGTAGAAAAATATTAGTCCATGGATTAGAAATGGGATACTCCAATTTACTGCTGTGAAAATCTAGATAGGTTGTTCATGAAAAAGTTCTTAATAATGCCTATCACAATAAACTAGGTTTTACATATGAACCATTGTGCTATTGGAGCTCTCTATTTTTAATTAAATGTAAATATAGCACACTCAATTTATAACATATATTTAGTTGTAGGGGATTAAGAACAAGTTCCTCCAATATCTTTCATGCTTATAGTGTAGATTTTCTAGACTAGTCATGTGAAATTCAATTTATTTTTCTGTAGAAGAACAACAAGAACCACCTTTGGCTTGTAACACAGCATTTGGGTTATAACGGGCATTACCAAGTATGTGAGGGAAAGAAAGGTGGAGAGAGTTACAATTACACAGCTGTAGTTGCAACTCCTCAATAATTGTACCATGAAGTTGTTGTGCTCTAGTGCCAGTATAGCCTATGCATGGGCACAAGTAGGGTTAAATGCAAAACAGATTTCTTCACACTGAGCAGTCGTAAATCTCAAGTTCCTGTGCTTTCAATCTCTCAACCGAAAGTGTGCAGGGTAAAAGTGTGTGTCTGTGAGGTGGGATCCTTATTATAGAATTATAGAAATGTAAAGCCGGAAGGGATTTTGAGAGGTAATCAAATCCAGTCTCCTCCACTTAGGCTGGACCAAGTAACCTTAGACCATCCCTGACAGGCAATTGACCAACCTTTTTTTAAAACCTCAACTATGGAGATTTCACCTTCCCTTGGAAGACTATTCCAGAGCTTAACTATTCTTAAAGTGAGAATTTTTCCTAATATCTAACCTAAATCCCATGTGCTGCAGATAAAGCCCATTACTACTTGTTCTACTGTCAAAGGACATGGAGAACAATGATGGTTGGATTCTCCTGTTTTCTCTGCTCTCCTATTCACTTTTTTATCTTGCTCTTATTTTCATAACTCACAAATCTAGGTTGTGTGGGTTCAAACCCAAAATGCAGAACAAGCAGTAGTGTCTTCAAATTAGTAGTAATGGGTTAGGGTTAGGATTATCCTGAGACTACAGTCAGCATGACTGAAGTCAGTCTTAACATGAGTGGCTATTTACCTATTTTATCTAATTACAAAATGAATGTCAGTGCACAGAGGAACTCCTAGTATGTGTTTTCAGAAACATCTTGGTTTAAAACCTCCTTGTTGATGCCTGGTCTTGCATTCCTGTATCATGCATTTCACCCTGCATAAATATAACAGATAGAATGCACAGTATATTTCAACAAGGATCTTTATTTTTGTTAAATTAAGGTTAGTTAATTTTCCACATTTCTAGTATTGTAAAACAAATGAGGTAATAACGTTCTATTAAAATGTTTGTTTTTGGAAAAAGAACACTTTTTATTATAATATTGCAATTTGAAATACTTCTCATCTCTCACTTCCAGGGCAACGTGTCACTGAAAGAACTGAATGCAAGACCACTGGAAGTCTTCATGTGCAGCGTGCTAAAGAGACAAGGCTATGGAGAAGGATTCCGTTGGATGGCACAATACATTGATTAATGCCAAAATCGCATCAGTACATTTTGTTCCATGTCTGAATATTGTCTGCTCATTATTTGATCACTCAGTGTACATAATTTAAACTCAGTAGACTTTGTTTGGTTACAAAAGCATATGTTTTTTAGATTATTAAATCAACTATGCTAAACTGAAAGTGTGAGGATTGAAAAATGATTTTAAGCAAGTTTATAAGACTGACTATCACAACATGTTAGCTTTCTAATCCCATAACATAAGTCTTTTGAAATTTATAACTTGACAATAGTCTTCAGCACCATTTTTTGACAGTGATTTTCCAGTACAGTACATTTGAATGCACTTTTTAACAGCTAAAAACAGGAGACATGTAAACAACATTTAATGCTCGTTGTGTTAAATTTGTATGTACTTTTTTGAAACTGGTTTTATAAATTTAGAATATATAACCATCTCAAGGAACAATAAATAATTAGCATATTGATAATTGCATGATGCCTTACAGCTTTCAATAATACACTTTCTTATGCAAGCAACGTCATGCAATAAAACTAAATCCAATTTTTGGCATCTTTGATGGGAAATGTTTCATTTTAATGTGTCTTAACTAGTGAGGATGTCTGAAGATTTGAGTAAGTGGGATATCTTCCTGAAACATTTAGGCCACAAGATAGTTTTGGTGTACTTTAGAAAATTATAAGCTTTTCAAACTACTTGATTGCATTGATTAGGATTTTGCATTAACATGAGAATAATCTAATTAGATGCCCTACCAACCACTAAACTGTAATTTAAAAATATATATAAATTAATGTGTACATATACAATTCTTTATCTAAAGCAAAATTGAGCTCATTTATTGTTTTGTGAATTAAAATGAACTTGTAAACTGACATTACCTTGAAGAAATTAAAAAAAAAAAAAAAACCCACCCGTGTGAAATAATACTCTCCTAGTTCAATAGACCATGATTGTGCCAGAGGAGTTGATTCTGAATAACCTGTAATTCCCAGAAAGGCATTTGCTGATGTTACATGTGGAAACTCATGCCATCTGTCACACGACTGGATGTGAGTTTTAGCCTTTCTTTTTGTCTAAGGCTTTTTTTGGACAGTTTTACGATGTTGGCAAACTGTATGTAATGCTTTGGAGTCTGAGATGACTTATTTCTGAGATAAAGTTTTGGTATCACTAAGACTGGTGGTCTGGCATTTGACTGTTCCTTTCCCCTTTCTTCTGCATGCATTACTACTTTTGAAAAGAATGAAGATTATTTTCTAAGTGGAAAGTGGTAGAGCACATATGTCGATTTCTTGTTGCTATTAGTTGGTACTTACTGTTGAACTGTGGTCTGTTTGTTGTAGGATGTCTCATTCTGTAGCCTTCATCTGAACCTATTTATGGCAGGTGGGGCTGATATTTTACATAAATATGAAAAAAGGAGTGGAAGTTCAATTATAGATTTCAAACTGGAGTCATCTTTTTGTGATGTTGTTCAGTGGCGGTTTTGCCTAAGAAAGTAAGGGTAGGTAAGTTCTTGGTGTCTAAGATTGATTTCCAGGAAAGATTGTTGCTTCCCTCATGGTAATGTAAGCTCTCTTTTTGGGAATGTATGTGGATCCTGATGTCCAGCATGCATGGAATATTGATATCGTATGTCTAGAATTAATTTTTGTTCTTCTTGGCCCATTGGATTTGACTTCCAGATGCAGGGTATACAGGATCACAGTGGATAATGA